ATCACTTTATATTATATTATATATATATATGTATTCTATTAGCATACAGTCTATACATGTATATTCAGTATGAGAATGTTTATATCATTCCTCATTCTATAGTGAGAGAGTAACAATTTATGTAAATGGCATGAAATAAAATAAAAAGATATTCAATAAAGAATTCTAGATCTAATAGACATAATATAAATGTTTATAGACAACAGACTCGATTCGCTAAGTTACAAATAATTTTCGCTCACTTTTGTTACTTTGTATCAATATATTTCTATTTACATCTCACATTTACTTCAACAATCTCTTTATAATTTATCCTGTTTTATTTTTTATTTGATTACAATTTCTCTTGATTTATCTCTACAGTAAAAATTAATATCAATATAATGATCCTTCTGTTATTCACAAATAAACGTGAGACGAACTGAGACGAACGTGAGTAAAACTTTGGAAATTACGTTTATATCGAAATATCATACCAATTGTTGATGTAATCTTAATAAAATTGACACAGTATAGAAAAGAAGTATGATTCAGTACTTATATAAAGAAGGCAAATAAAAATATAAAGAAAAGCTTTGACGTGCTTATAAGTACACACTCATAATCCATCTTAGCTTTTTAGTCCGAATATAATATATTTAAAAGTACATTATTGTACATTATATTTGTACATTATACGCCTGTTATTAAGAAAAATGTGGAGTAAAAATTAATTACAATACTAATTATTTCATTCTTTTTTGCTTTATCAGATGATTTTTAAGAGCTATTTGTTTCTCTCTAAAAGATCGCTTTACTTTTGTTCTTAATTTCTGCTTTAACATTGAAAATGCTTTTCCTTTTCTCTTCTCACGATTTGTAGTACTGCATAATGGATTTTGTCGCCGATCCTTAAAACCGAATTTGTCTCGTTCTTCTTGTCCCTTCTGTAAATTTAATGATGCTGATCTGAGCTCTATTTTTATATATCAAATTAAAAGAATCATTTATACTGGCCGTAATCTGTTAACTTATGCCATAATTGATAACAATTGATCAATCATAATCGACTATTCCTCTTTCATTCGACTGTGACTGGTGAATTCTTAAAAATTACAGTCAGTATAAATAATCCTTAATATTTTATACGTACCTTAACAGATTTCTGTCGGGCAGCCTTATCATGCTTGCGTTTCTTATATATATTTTCTATATCGCTAAGTTTTACCAATTCTCCACCTTTATCTGTCTCTATTTGATCGTGCGTTCTCTTAACGCTACGTTTAATGTATGTTACGTCTTGCTTTGCTAATGCGACATCAATTTTTCTGAAATCCTTATCCGTGAGTAATCTTTCTGTAGATATCACAGATGCCTTTGTTTTTCTCTCAGCCATTAATTCTTCATTTTTTTCAGATTTAAATTTTGCTTTCTTCTCTAATTTTTCTGCCTTCTTTTCTTGTTTTGTTAAAGCGTTTTTCTTTTGCAAAATTTTACTTGTTTTTTGTTCTCCGCTATTCGCTTTACAAGTACTCTGCGCACTATTGTTCCCACTATGTGATAACGTCAAAGTTTTATCATCCTTATTTTCGCTAATGGAAGATTTCATCGATTCACTAGTCAACTCGTTCTCATCGATTTCCTTGTCGCTGATTTCCTCCTCACTGATTTCCTCGTCGCTGATTTCCTCCTCACTGATTTCCTCGTCGCTGATTTCCTCGTCGCTGATTTCCTCGTCGCTGATTTCCTCGTCGCTGATTTCCTCGTCGCTGATTTCCTCGTCGCTGATTTCCTCGTCGCTGATTTCCTCGTCGCTGATTTCCTCGTCGCTGATTTCCTCGTCGCTGATTTCCTCGTCGCTGATTTCCTCGTCGCTGATTTCCTCGTCGCTGATTTCCTCGTCGCTGATTTCCTCGTCGCTGATTTCCTCGTCGCTGATTTCCTCATTGTTTTCACTTACATCAATCCACTCGTCATCGTCCTATATTTGAATAGATTTTTATATAACTTATATCAAAAATAAATAATTGGAAAAATAATTGAATGTTTTCACTTACTTCTTCGTCGCTATCACTGGTCTTTTCAGTATTTTTAGCAGGTTGATTGTATAAAATTTCTGCTCCTGGTACAAACTCGCTTGCTCGAATTTCACCATATTTGGAAGACTTTATCATAACATTAGCTTCTGTAGGACGGCCTTTGTCTTTTTTACGTAATAAATCAGGCATTATACGCCTGAATGTTCCAATTAAAGAATGCGCTGCCATCATAACGGAACGTTCCTTATAATGCTTATAGCGTGTTAAATCCTCAAGTAGATCCTCATTCATGGCCAATGGACATCGTGTACATATTTCGCGTACAGTATTTAAACTGGAAATATATATTATAAATAAATAGCGAGATATAAACAACACAATATACGTATTCATAACAAATAAATTATTAAAATGGATTTACATACCCGATAGCCATCACATCCGCAGAATTTCTTTCCGTTATGAAATTGTTTGCCAACGTCTTCAAAACGGGTTCTAACATATCAGGTGGTACTAATTCATGTGAAGCCTGAGCTACAAATTGTAAAAGTTTCGTAACCTCTGAAAAAAAACAAAAACAAAAATAATATCTAAATAAAGTTACGCAAATAAAGAAACTACATATTTTTTGCACGATTCAAAACCGATAAAAATTGATAAAGATTGTATAGCAATCAAGAAAATCAACAGTAATATTTACCTTAAAATATTAAATAAAGACAGATATTTATTAAAAAATTTAAATATTTAGCAATTAGACAATATTAAAATTATAATAACTACGTTATATTATTAATCTTACCTCGTTGATGAGGCTGAAGAAATCTTTGTATATACGGATAAAAGTTCAAGAGAAATAAACTGTGTAAGCCAATAAGTCTAGACACAACATCCAGAGTCATAAGTTTTACTTCAAATCTATCATTATTTTTTTCTATCTGCTTGAATAATTTTTCAGCAAAATCTTGTGGATCGTGAATTAGATGCAATGCTGAAAAATTATACTGCGGCGCTTTAGATTTCTTCTTTTTAGCTTTCTGAAAAAAATACATTAAAATTAGAAGTTATGGTTTATATTTCTTATAAATATCACGATAAATTTTGTAATGTTAAACTTACTACGAATGATTGTTTAGCTTTCTTTAATTGCTTCTGACGTTTCTTCGTTTTTTTGTTTACTTTATTAGCCATCATAATTTCCTTCATATTTAGCTCATCATCTGAATCACTGTCATCACTTTCTTTTTCTTCCGAACGAGTTCCCAAAAAAAATTTCAAACTAGCAACCATTACTTTTGTTATTTTCGAAAAGCAACCTGTTGCTATAACATTAACAGTCTTGACGTCGTTCCAAACATTTTTATTGTACAATTCTATCATAATATCCACAGACATCTTCGCGGCTCTGACATTAGGATCTTTTAACATAGAGAACATAAAATTTTGTAACACTGTATTAACTTTGGCATTTTTATGCTTTGCATTAATATTTTTAATGTCTGTGACAACATGTGTTTGGAGGAATTGTCTCAAGATTTTATCTTGACATCTTAAAAGTTCAAAAAATAAACTGAGAAGTGCAGTAGGTTCTAAGAGGGATTTGTTGCGTAGTTGAATCAACGCTTTACAAAATGTCTGTAAAGAATATAATTATAATGTAGTAATAATTTGTATGCATTCATATTTGATAGCATAATTTAATTTCCATGTATATTATGCTTACCATTCGTATTTCATTGTCTAGTATGATGTTATGAGTTTGTAATATATCGATAATTTCTTGAGGATATGTTTTCAAATCATTTGGATAACAATGAGCAACCTGTAATAATATGCATACAAATACGTATAGTGCCCATTTTGAATGATTTCTTAAAATTATAAGAATAATAATTGTGCAATAAATTATAATGAATTATTATCTATACAATACTGTTATGTATATTACTTATGTATTTATGTACACACACAATCGATAACTATATTTTGATTTAAATATTTAAATATTAACATTGAAAAATAAGAAATGTTTAAATAAATACAACGTACGCGTTTATAAAACTTTTAATAAAAAGAAAATCAAATTATCATATCAATTTACACACAAAATTAAATTTCTCATAGTTTTAATTTATTTCATTACATTACAAATTACTACATATTATTACATATTTCATATATATAAAAATAAAATCTTATTCTACATAAATATCTAACATAAATATATATACGTAAGTTTTTTTTTCTTTATTACTTAAGAACTCTTCGTATAATAAAATGTTAACCAAAACTATTAGAAATAAACACATACATAAAACTATAACTAAAGATGAACATAAAAATTATATGAAGTATGTTTAAGCCATATTCAAGTAATTCTTTATTTCAAAGCCAACTGTTTTAGCTACAACGATAATAAAGTCGTGACTTGCACAGCACTTGAATTTTGTTTCATCCAACTGCGTAATGTTATCTCCGACGATAGATAATAAACCAAGCTGGCACATGGTAGAGATTTGAGCGAGTAAATTAGCATTGATGTCTACTTTTTCATCGAGAATAGCGCAAAAGATTGCGAGCATTCTCGAGATAGTAAATACTCGACATTTCTTTTCCGCATCTTTTCCCGTTTTCTTAATTGACCGTATCTTTTTTTTTCTCTTACTACTTTGCTTCATAAAAATATGCTTGTCATACTTAATGGGATTATACGAAGCTAAATACGCCGCGATTAGCATGTACTTCGCGTAAAACGGTAGTTCAAAACTTAAAGCTAGTTTTGTTGTCGACTCAATTTCTCGAGACATTTGATAATCAGGTTGTAAAAAATCGCTCGTAGAAACTCTAAGATAAATAATTTCCAAATTAGATCTCAAAGTAGCAGAGATGTTCCTCCATAGTGCAGTAACGTTATCTGGCTCAATTCGCTTACTTTCAATAGGTTCTACATATTTTGCAAAATTTAATTTAACCATGTGCCTAAGCTCGTTTAAATCTCTACAAAATCGGAAAAATACAGAAAGAAAAAGATTCAAATAATTCTTATAAAAATCTGTATCATAATTCATTGGCTTATCTAATAATAACAATTGTCCTAATTCGTCCTTCGTATATTGGGGAAAATAAATCTTTACGGGCCTCAATGCGCCTATCTTGGTATTGAATTTATCCCAAACAATCTCGCTTATCAAAATCGTACATATATTAATATCGGCTAACTCTCTGAGTCTTAAGATCGCTGGCAAAAAAGTCACATCAAAATGCCTTATCTTATGACATTTATCGAATACTAACACAATCGGACGTTTATCATTGCAAGAAATCTTTTTAAGCGCAATTATAAAATCCATAATATTGTCGCAGTTATGTTTCAATTGTGTGTCATCACTTGATTCTTTTATAGATGTGACTAAATCATCCAAGATGTAATTATATACGTGTTTACTACCTAAATGCTCTATACAGTTAATATAGCTAACATTATACTTTAAATAATTGAGCAAACTTTGTATAATTAACGACTTTCCAGTAGCCATGTGTCCATAAACGAAAATGCTCTCTGGCATCGGTTCATCTGCTATGCCGATTAAAGAATACAGCCGTGATACAATTTCTTCACGGCATATAATGTTATTTTTTCTTATCCTTTTTAAATATTTTTCCATGATTAAATCTTAAAATTACTCAAAAAATAAAATTGGAGTACAATCAATTTTTAGTTTTTATCGTTGATTGTGTCACACTTATCTGAGAGACAAACAATTAGCTTTGATAAATTAGTTCTTATAATGGATGTTCCTTATAGCGTTCTTATAATGGACTTAAGATGATACTTAAATTTAGCCAAATCGCATATATTTTTATTACTATGATTTAAGCATATGTGTATGTGCTAACCTGAGCCAAGAAGGTTACTAGTTCATCGAGACTTTTGTTAAATTGTGTAGGCTCCAGACGGAAAATTTCTAGAATAGACTTATAATGCAGATGTTGCTGAAGAAACTGTAATTAAACATATTATGTTAAACATTTGAAATAATCATACGGTTTTCTTTCTTTATGTAACACATATACTAGAACAGGGATTGTAAGTTATCTTATTTTTAAAGTCCATGAAGAAATAACTGATCATTATAAGAGAAAATGTAATAAAGTCTAACAAAACATGAGAACTAATAAGAAAGTATCTTTATTACAAAAAGCATCTTTGTTCTGCAGATCTTTGTAGCTTTATAAAAAAGAAGTCAAAACTGAGCGCAAGTATGAAAATAATAACGTTTTCAATCACTTATGTTTTATCAATATGGTATATAACAAAATAAAATTACATAACCAAATATTTCATATAAATATATGTATTATAAAAAAATTATATACAATTAATAAAGCAATGCCACAATGAACAATAAAATATAAAACAAAAATAAAAGCATTGCTCTACGTGAGAATATGCAACTAATAATATAAACTCGATAGATTCTGTGTATAATCCCAAAGCTCATCCCACGTATGTCTTGGATTTATAGGAAACTGGAGAGTTAAAGTAGATAAATCACAATTTCTTTTGGGAATTTCATATTTCATTTACATTTATAAGATATAAGAATATAATAATATAATAATATAAGAAATATAAACAAGGATATATCTAATATAGAAAAATAAAACACAAAAATATATAAGATTTACCTCTTCCTTGTAAGACTCCGGATCTCGTTTAATAAGATTCTGCAATTGTGGAAGATTATCTGGTAATTGATTGTTATGTCTTACCATTTTTAAAACCTATGCAAATAAATAATTATAATCATTATAAGGAGAAAACGCAATAGGATTTAACGAAACACGAAAAGTAATGAGAAAAGCATCTTTATTAGTCAGATTCTGTATAGACTTTCGTAGCTTTAAAAATGAAATCGTAACTACTCGCGCTATCATTCTTTTATAAAAAAAAAGCACAAGCATGAAAATGATATGTTGCTTTTATACATACGTTTTATATGGGTTTCAATGGGTTTCTATTATTTGATCCTTATAGATCGTTTTCGATCCAGATTTTCAATGAAACGCTGCAATTTTATCCTATACTCATTTGTATATCAAACATCAAATTGCAACTTCTCAAATCTTAACAACTTCATTTACAACCTGCACACTTGTAACTTCCAATTCAATATACCCTTTCTTCTTACTCCACGTGCAACCAAAGACTGCGTTCAGAAATATCACCCGGGTGCTCCTCAGATGTCATCCTTGTTTAACGTTCGGTAAACAACAAGGATAATATGACATCCGGCAAGCACCCAGATGGGAAGTCACCATTTGTAGAGCGTTGAAATGAGTAGGAGCACCGACGAGAAAATTAAACTGGTTTTACATTAGTTGCAAGTTGATCGTTTGCAAGCTGAAGTTTGTTACGACAGCCAATATGAAGCGTTGATTTCAAAATGCAAGCTTCAGAGTGGCTGTCGCAACAAATTTGCAATCGGCTTGCAACTAATGTAGAACCGGCTTAATAGAGGAGAAAAGAAGCAAGCGGCACATACAATTCTTTAAACATTTTATTGACAATTATCGCTATCGTTGATTAATGATAGCCAATAAGAGATCGCGCTTTCTTCTAGAATTATCCTGCCATTGGTTGTCGCTAGTTAACGATAGCGTCAATTGACTTTCAATGATGGAACCAATCAGCAATCGCTTCAGTATTGTCTAGATTTTGTTGTAGGGACTCTACCCAGTCTTGTTCCGCAGTGATTTCATCCTCAGAAATTGTATATTCCAGTGTATCTGATTTCTGATAGATTGAAATTATATTATTTCTATCGCTATCGCTATTCCTTCGCATTGTGCCTGGGGCTTAAGTTCTCATTTCACAAAAGAGATATATGAGACGTGATGCGCTTGGTACAATAAAGATATAAAAAATTGCTGTTTTTAATTGCTGTCAGAAACTGCTCTCAGAAACTGTTAGGAACTGTCAGATATTAGAATAGAAAAACATCTTTATAGCCACCACAGCAGTTAAATATCATCACACAGATATAAAACATACATAAATATAAACATACAAATATAAACATACTCAGCTCTCGCTGTGTCATTAATTTGAGTTTGAATTTTTTCATTGAGTGTTTCAATATATAAAATTCCGCGTTTACCGTCGAGGCACGCTTTGTTGAGTGGAAACATGCCGAGTATAGAGTTTGGACAACGAAACAACGGTGGAATTACATCTGAGACACAAATGTTTCCAGAGTTTGAATTTTTAGGTTAAGTATTATTATGTATATTTTTTTATTATGTTGTATGTTGATTATATATATGTATAAAATCTAATAAAGTAGATAAGTAATGTCATAATTTGACTTAATGTTTGCACATAGATGAAAGAATTTCTTATTTATTTTGTATGTTGTCTATTTCTATCTCACAATCTATTAATATAGTATTACATATAAAGAGTAAAATAAATAATATAGCATAGTATGTAAGGAAAGTAAAATAAAATTGAATATCTGACTTTACAGCGTTATGCATTAAAAATATTCTATAATTATCCGAACATTTTTTTATAGAAGGAAGCAATCAATTTGTTTCCGATGATCTTTTTCAATCATGGAGTTCTGAATTAGGAATACCTATTATGCCAGAAGGAGATATGATATTGGATTATGATAAAACTACAAATGAAGGAGTGAAAAATATTTTTGACTTATGGACCCCCTTTAAAGAGATTGACTTTAATCAGACACAAAATAACTCGGGTATATTTCATATATATATGTGTGTGTGTGTGTGTGTGTGTGTGTGTGTGTGTGTGTGTGTGTATTTTCTATGTATATATATATATATATATATGTATATATACGTACATAGATACATATATATACATAAAATATTATCTTTTAGAAATAATTATTTACCTGAAATTTTTATAGGATTGGAGGAAATAAACGAGACAAGAAATGAAATTAAATTTGAACCTGAAAGTCCAACTGTACAATTTCCATTATCACCCAGTAGCCTTAACCATTCAGAATCTAATGATTCAAATAAGCAAGTGAAATGTTCAATGCAAGAAGTATCTAATTGTACAATGCAAGATATAAAAGCAGAAGTATGTTCCATAGGATATATAATGTTGACAAAAAATGTAAAAGTTTAATGCATATTTAATAACTGAATTTTTTCTTTTAGTTTACTTTAGAGACACCAATAATTTCTTCTCCGCAATGCACGTCTCCATTATCACAATCACCTCAATCACCTTTAAATTCATCAAGTGTAATGCAACAAATTAAATTCATGCCTGTTAGTAAAGAAGACACAGAGCCTCCAAAATATATACTCGCAAAAGCGGATTTTGCGAAGCATGCTCATATCCAACCTATAAATATTGCACAAAATATAAAATATGGTAAAAATATTACATCATCTTTATATAAGATAATCTGCAAATGTGTTTGCAACAAAAAAAGTATATTATCTAGAAACTACTAAATTTGAATACATGTGATATCATTAAACATTAGAACTATTGAAAATTCTCATCTTAGTGTGTTTTATTTTGTCTAAAAAAAATAGCTTTTATTATTGTGGACAAATTATTTTCATAGTCATTATTCAAACTTGTAGTGTACTCAAAATATTTGTTACTCTCTATAAATTAATAATAATAGAAAGAGCATGTAAGAGTAAGTTATAAAGTTTACAAAAATAACAAACTAAAAAGTTAAGATATAAAAATTCACTGTAATTAAATTTGAACAATAATCTGTTCTCTATGAACAAAAAGTAATCAGAAAAATATTTTTTATATATAATATATAATATATAATTTTACACACACACACACACACACACACACACACGCATATATATACATATGTCTAGAATATTTTTAATATCTACAGGCGAGCCTCAAAATACTATTTTTCTCCAAGACTTTGGTACATTTGCACAGAATGCAAATTCACAGCAAATATTGTATCCCTCAAAACTTCGGATATTACCAGCAAATAAACAAAATTCATTGAATATCAACTCAACTGATAAAACGGAAACTGCTACATTTCAATTACCACAGAATGTAAAAATAATTAATACTATCAAATCAAATATTTGTCCAACGAATACTACGGAATCAATAGATACTTCTACTATTTTAAATAATGGATCTGTGAAAAGTAACAATATTGTTGTTTCAAACAAAACCATAAGTTATACACCACTTCAAGTAATGCAGAATAAAGTAAACTCCAATTCGTTAATTGTACAAAATGAAGCGATTGATCTCGTGAATTTGCCAAAAAATAATCAAGAATATAAATTAAAGGCATTAAAAAGACAACAAAGAATGATAAAAAATAGGGAATCCGCTTGCCTCTCACGAAAGAAGAAAAAAGAATATGTATCTTCTTTGGAGAAACAAGTATCCGAGTTGAAGGAAGAGAATAGACAATTAAAATCGGTAAACAATCTATGCTTTATATGTACATATATACATTATAAATTTTTAATAAAAAATATAAATTATTTTTCAATATTATATATATTTTTTTTAGGAAAATACAATCTTAAAACAGAGACTGTCAGAAATGGAAAACAATATCACAAATAATAACAAGCATAAAAATTTCAATTTTAATCCCTTGAAAAAGAAAATAAAGGGAAGTGCCGTTATTCTTTTCGGTATAATTTTCATGGTATCGTTCAACGTTGACGGCTTTAGGTAAGCGTAACATTACAGTGCATTTTTCTACTTATACATTACACATGTGATTTAATAAAAAGAGAGTGTAATTTAATTTTAATATTAATAATTTATACATGTATCTTCATAAAATAAAATCTGAATATGTTAAGTATTTTATTTTTTGGTACATGTGTGAATACAATACAAGAAAGAAAATTGTTTCTAAAGAGTTGCTTTATAATTTAATTTTTAGCTTTTATTAGTTTTAACATGATATAAAAAGAAGGTATAATGTCAAAGTTTTTTTTAAGATTCGAAATTTTCTTAAAAATCAGTGAAGATATTTTGAGATTTCTTAAACAGACTATTTGCATTGTATATTTTATAAAAATTACATTTTATACGACACAAAAATTATCTTTTTATTTTTTAAGGGGAACACTTTCACAAAATGTACATTTTAAAACTGAATCTGATAGTTTATCAGTATCTATAGCAAAGGATAAACATAACAGAAGATTGTTCTGGACGGTAGATGAAACCGATAACAATATGGAAGATCGAATTGAAGAAAGTTTTAATAAAAGTATACCGACACATCAACCGATATGTCCAATGTATATTAATCAGAGTGAGTCCATACGTTTAGACAGCGAATTAAGACGTTGGATCGTTGGTGAATCTGATCAAGATAATCAGACTGCTCTAAGAAAAACGAAATTTCAGACAGATTCGTTAAATGTATCGTTGTCGAGATCGCCATTAGAAGAAAAAACTAGAAAGAAATTGTACTTATCACGAGATAGGAAAATAAAAACTATGCATAAAATGATCGACATTCCTGCCGTTAATCAATATTCAGATAATAATGCAATTGAGATCTTTTCTCCAATATTGAGCGAACATGCTTCTTTATTTGAAGCTTTAGGAAGAAAAGATGATACATTTTATGTTGTCTGGTTTAGTGGTGAACATTTATTATTGCCAGCTTCCCGGAAGAATAATACAGCTAGACCTAAAATGTCTTTAGTTCTACCTGCTGTGTCTATAAACGGTAAATAATATTATATGAACCAACATCTACCAACATCTATGTTCAAATAAAAAATGAATTTAATGTAACGATATATAATGACACATAATATTATAAAAACGTTTTTCTTCCAGGTACATTTTCAACGCCACCTAATCATATAACAATGATGCAGATTGATTGCGAGGTAACTAATACGCAACTGCTACATTTACAACAATCCATTATACCTGTCCATTTACGAAACAGTAAACCTATGAGTCAATCGAATCAATCTCATTCTGTTGAGGATATAGACAATCCATCTGCAGATAATATCACTAGAAATTACAAACCGTACTTTTTGAAAGAAGCTAATAGAAAACATCGGTATAGAAAACACTTTATGTAATGATCACATAAATAAAAAAATTAGAAATTTTGACATTTTGTGTAATAAGAAATACGCGCATATAAGTATGTTCCTAGTCTTAATATGAAAAACATAAAGGATTAACTATGCGATATAAAGATAATATACTTGTTTATGCAATAATATAATTATATTATACTCTAGTTATATACATATATAGTAATATATAATTATATATTGAATCGTAATTATTTATATTTTCTTCATCATTACCTTTTTCAAACTTTTCCTATTTATCATTTTTGGAAGAAATGTTATGAAATCTTTATCGATACAAATGTATATTTTATTGTATATTTAAATTTTGATAAAGATTTCATAACATTTCTTCTAAAAGTGGGTAAATAGAAAATATCTGAAAAAGTTATACATACTTTATTTTTAAATCTAATATTTATTTGATAATGCACTGTGAGAGTTACACTATATTTATGATATAATGTGAGAATTTGATATCCTACTACTATATTATTCCAAATTTTTATAAGTTTCTGTTTTATATTTTTTTATCTGTGATATAACATTTCATATAATAGTCATCTACATCAAAATAATAGTAAAATTTTAAAAACTGCACAAAAAATTTATGATTTATGATTCATCAATTTATTTGGTATTATTTTGCAAGTATAAAATAAATTTAAATGCAAATCAGTATAATTAATTTAAAAAAGTATGCTTTTGCTAAATATTATAAACATTTCATTACAAATATTTAATGATGTTCAGATATTTGTCAAATTTTAACAAATATTCAAAGTTATTGAATATAATTATCGCAAAATTAAATGCTATAGCGCACTGTATTAATTATTGTTTTGAAATCATAAAATAATAACTAAAATTGTAGAATCCAGGTTAATTTTTATTATATATTTTTAAATGATAATTATAGAAAATAATATATTGTACATTTTCTATTTATTATCAGATATAATTAAGCAATGAAAATCTCTATCATTAAATAATAAATTTTGAACTTTGATTTTTTTTTCTTTGAAAGTACATATATTATTATTGATAGCACATATTGTTTATCTATTATAAAAAAATTAATCAATTTTAAACTCTCAAATTTTATTTTAATTTTTGCAAGTAGAGACCAAACAATTAATTTTCTCTATTTCTACCTTCGTTCTAATTGTGTGTATGTATAGTGTATATATCAGCAATGTTACTATAAAATAAATTAACCACATATATTAAACATATATATTATTACATATACATATATTAAATATATATATTATTTTTCTTCAAAAATTATGTTATACAATATATATGTGTATAATAGTAAAAAATATATGTATATACATGCAATTCACTTCAAGTCTGGAGTAGAATTTCCCAGATAACATCGTAAATCTGTTAAAGTTGATTGAATTATTTTGGCTTTAATAGACGCTTTACCTAGTCGTTGATGGGCGGTATAACGATGGCAACCACCAAAAGAATAATAATAGTCACCACCTATAAATATAATCAATAAATTTAATTATTTCTCCTAGAAACTTCACAGTGGTTTGATCTCGTTTGTTTATAAATTACAAAATTGGCACAATTATAATTCATAAATTAGTGAAAATGTAAAAACCGTGATGGTAAAAACTACTTTTCACGCCGCTACACTTTAACAGCTTTACCTTTGCTTCCTTTGATCCACAAAATGTCGATGGGTGGTACTGTGTCCTCAGTTTCGATATTTTTCAACGCATTCATTAAACTTTGGACCTTTTCCTCGTTCACATCGGCAGGGAAAGGTCTGACAATTATGTCCATTGGAACGTCGTGCACCTCTGCAAGAGGACTTGAATGAATTGAGCTGGCTATTTGGCATGCACCCTTACGTATCATTTTAGTTAACGTTTGATAATCTCGCGATGATCTTACGCATGCATCGATGTGCTAATGAATAGCGATTGACGAATAATTCTTGCTATTGCATCAGAAATTGAGAATACATTATATCAGTAGTGCGCAACCTTTTTTAAAAATTATTTTTAGAGAATCATTTTCAGAAATATAGATAAAATCTTGCGAGTAACATGTTTATTTCGTTTGCATGAAATAGAAAATTCAAAATATATTTTTTATTTTAAGCCGTCACGACGGACCGCAAAAAATTCACAAGGCTGCAGGTTGCGTATTACTGTTATGTAATCAAGAACAAATTAAAAAAATCTTTTATTGCCTTCCATCAATCTGATGGAATCGATCAATGGTAGAGATAACAAATCAAAATTGATATATATGTGCATTGTAAACTGATAAAATATCTCTAACCTCGATACTATCGATGCTATCTCTAGGTTAGAAATTTTTTGACCAATCAATGAATATGATCATATCTCGCGCCAAATTTTTAATTCTCCTTTACAGTAGAAATTTCCTCAAAAAGAACAAAAGTACAATACCGTATGTACATACGAGTATGTCTAAAAAGCGATTTTTTTTTTATTTCAATCACAAATTAAGAAATTATTATATATATTTGTATATCTTGCTTGTACTATTGGTTTTTAAAGATATACTAGTATTTTTTTAATCTGCTTTTAGATTAGGATTGTATAATAAAATTGTAAGATAAGGTTTAAGTTTTTACTAATTTTTTTTATATTTACATATTATCATAAAATAGAGAGAAAATATTGATTACGCATTTCTTAACAGTAATTGATTGCACTTTGTTATATTAATTCTATCAAAGTGTTGGGAAATAATAAGCACCTGATAATTCATCAAGCACTTGGACAGCTTTAGTAACCGTAGAAAAGAACAAATCTTAACGTTGTGAATTTACAACGTCATATAAATATAAATTACAAACAGTCATTACATCTATGTACAAAATCTATTTTAAAATTATTATAATTACATATATTTATTATAACTATTTTCTAGAAAAATTAATGTGCCTTTTATACAATACCTGTACGCTTATTCAGTTAAAATCACAACATAATGCTGAAAACGTAAAAAATATGATACAGCTGCTGATTTTTAAAAATAATATATTAATTTATATTCTTCTGAAGAATATAAATGAACAACCTTCCACCTTTTCAACATTGTACAAAATTTCCAACGATAAAATCCCATTTTATCTTTATTTACTCCATTATCATGAGTAATTATGCATTTGTTGGTACTGCAGTATTATAGTAATAATAGAGAATAATAATATAGCGCATCAATACAAAACTAAACATATATAAGCAAAAATCATTAAGTATTACGGTGAATAATGCGAATGATACTTTAAATATATAAATTAATCTAGGTTTAACATTGCACAACATCAAAGCAATGACTAATAAACTGTTGTCTTGTGCTTCGTATAATGTTGTACAGCTGTATAAACGTCCCATCATCAATAATAAGTAAGGTATAATAACTGCCTGTGAATATATGAACAACATATATAAGTTATTAACATGAGTATTTCAATGAAATATAAGATAAGATTGTACACAAATATATATATTGTTGTATACCTGTCCAAATAAATAGTCGAGTTTCAGCACTAACAAAATATTAACAATTCCAGCTAGCAAGATAAAACTGATATGATTGAATAATAATGTATATAACATAAATTCTGATTTAGATGCTTGTTCTGATGAATGCATATTCTTATTACTGTCATTTAAAAAACTTTCATATCTGTTATCAAATCTTGTGCAATTTTGCAATTTTGTGTTGCTATTGATATTGCATATACCATTTCTGATAATGTCCTCTCCAAAATCAGATTCTGCTTTAAGATTGTTGCTTTCCATTTGTGGATCATTATCTGCAAAATATTCTTAAACTGTATCTGTTCAAATCAATTTATCTATATCTATTATATATTAAAAAAGTACTACTAAATATACTCAGAATTACATGTTTATCTTTTTCTACAACTTGGTAATAGACAGAATGCTAACAGAAACATAGAAAAATTTATCAACAAAATATGTATGATGATGGCAAATTAAGAACAAAAATCAAGTAGAGTTAGATATATTTATTACATATAATTTAATGCTGATTGATAACAGAAATAGATTACACAAATTTTGTTCGATTTCTAATACCAAGCTGAAACTTATTGGTTATGTTTACCTTTGATTTCGATCGGATTAACTCTCCCTGTAATTCTGCGTAGACGACTTTCCGAATTTTCTAATATTCGTCGTTTTCTCGCTTCTCTCCTGGCGTTGATTTCAGCCATCGTCGTATTTCGCACAATTGAAATTGAATATGATAATTTAATACACGAATCCACGTGAGCCCTTTTGTAACATGCACGTTCAAACTGCACGTTATTTAAGAAGGAAATAGCCGAAGAAAATTAAGTGACATAAATTTCTGATTGTATATGACACAATGACATGGAAAAAACGTGCTTTCACGATTTCACTATTCTTCTTCTTGAAAGCAGATTTTTTTCTATTGGTGTAACGGATATTTCCAGGATTAAAAAGATAATTAGAGGTTAAGCTAAATAGACCTATTTACTTTATTATTTTTTAATTGCGTGATTTGTAAACAAGACTAATTCTCATGACTAAACTCCCATTTGAAGTGTGTATTCCAGTGATTTCCAAATATTCTAGATGAGATTTTGTTCTTTAGACTTGTAAATCTATTCGCGTTACTTGAAATTTCCCAGAATTTTTGTATTTAAAATGAGATAAATATATATTTGGGTGTTGAAAAAAGAGAAAAACGAAGATGATAAGTGCAAAAAGTACAACCAACATCTTTTGTTATTCAAGAGATGCTTGTACACAGATTGTATTTATAAAATAAATATTATAATTTCTAATTTTTTAGCAACAGATAATATAATGTATTTAACTTTTTTTAACCAATGTCAGTGCATGTATGTATGTACTTCTTGAAAACATAAAAGAAGTTGAAAAAAATAAACAGATATTAGAGCGATTTCGATTAAATTTCAATTGATTTAATTAGCAATTAAATTATCGAATAATGTCTGGATTCTTAATATGGATAGATATTAATTTTTTGACATATGGAAATTAAAAAAATTGAATTAAGAATGATTTATAATTAGAAATTTTGTCGCAAAAAATTCTAGAATAATTTTTTTCTGATTTCAATTAATTGAAGAAACAGTAAAGAATCGATACAGGGAGTAGTGATATTAGATTTTTGAGTTGTTAAAAGGAAGAATACAAGAACGAATGTTTGATAATATAAGAAAGTGCAACTATATTGCCGACTCGTTTTCTAGATGTCAATCTCCTTTTCTTTAAGATTCGTTTTCTAGATCTTCTTTTCATTAAGAATAAGAAATTACAAAAAATATACAAAATTAAAAATAAAAAGTTAATTTTAATATATGAAAACCACTTCAGTTTTGATAAAAAAAAAGAATAAAAAATTATAAGTTAAAGTAGTTTCTCTTCTAACGAATTTTCTTATTCTATACATTTGTCTTTTCTTAATATAGAATAGAGAGATAATGGATTAGAGACATAATGGTTACGCATAGGCGGCACGCCATATTTTTATTATTATATTATGCCATTTTATAAATGAAGATTGAAGAAGAAATCCAAAATAAGTTTGCGCATTTCTGTCAAATTAGGACTATAATGTGGATTGATGAACTTTGACAAGAATATTATTTAAACTGAAAAAAAAAAACCAAATATATATATATATAAAAGTATATTAGTTTTTTGTTACTATTTGGATTGAAACATTAAGTATTTATAATTCATAAACATATAACATTGTTATTCACACGCATATAAAAAATAGGAAGATAAAAAATAATGCATATAATTTCAAGATAAATTTCACAATTCTTAAAAAAATAATGATATAAATTTCCTTAGGCTGGGTTGTTCCACCTTTCAATAAATTTCAGCTCATTGTCATCTTCTCTTACTCTCTTATGCTCTTACTCTTTTACTCTTTTGTTTATCTAATAGGTAAATTATCATATAATTTATTTGAAGATAGAACAATCAGCCTTTAATAATGTAAATATATGTATGTATAATATTGAATATAAATATAATTAATATATCAAATGCAAATATATAATAAATGTATATATCATTATAATATCAACTGCAAATGTATAATGAATGTATGTATGTATAATGTTGAGATAGCATAAATTATTGTACACGTCTGCTGCTGTCATCATCATAATAGTCATCTCATTTGGGTTAGTATAATTTCTATAAAAAAAGAAGAAAGAAAGACAAGATGTTAGTATATACATTTAAAAAATGAAACAAAATTGATACCGATATATTTAGGATGTTAATTTCTATATATTATGTGCAAATAAGGATAATTAATTAAACATAATAGGAATATTTTACACAAAAATGTAACGGGTTACATAAATTTATTACAGAAATAAACTATATCCTATTTATTACATATTATAAAGTGCATAATGTATAAAAATAAAATACAAATTATCAATAGGTTTCGGTATACACAAACGATATTTATTTATACATAAGATTTAAAACGCAAAATATTGATATTAGAATACCAACTGTACCAATAAACGTGTATTCTCTTACCGTCTTCCAGTTTTCACTAGTCTCTTTTAGAACTATTAAACCTCTTTTCCATATTGAGACAAAATATGTATATATCTGTGTATATATATGTGTATTTTGAGGTTGATCAACTGACTCTTTGACTTCGTTTATCGATATATCCACTGCCATTTTTCTTGGACATTCCACTGTAGTTTGTGAAATATTTTTATTTTCATAAAGTGCCATGTCCTTTGTAGAATCATGTCGTTGATCTAGATATGAATGTTTTATAATTTTACAAACTGATAAATATAATTTGTTCAAGTTAATACGATTTTCTTATTACCACTGTATATGTATAAATATAATTTGTCAAGTTAATACAATTTTCTTATTACCACTGTCATTATCAGGATCTTTTCCAAATGTACAATGTATAGTACTAGTGCCCCAACCTATTTTAATATTCTCTTTATTTTCAATTCTAACAGTGGAGAAATTTGCAGCAATGGATTCAACAATAGGTATACTACATTGGTTGGGGCACTCTGAATCCTATTTTTCATGTTTATCTGTCTGAAGTTTATGTTTAACATTGGATTTTACAATATTATAATGACCTGCTTGAATCATTTCTTCTTTCCATTTTTGCATTTCAATCTTATATTTTTTTGCTAAATCATTTGCTTCTGCATTATATTTATTTCTATCTACTGTCGTCATATTTTTCCATTCATTAGCTAAATTACTTATCCAATCCTAGAAATATAAAAAAAATTTGTTAATAAAAACTTAATAGTAATAGCAAACTTTAATAAAAAAGCATTTAAGCAAAAATCCTAAAAAACTCTTAAAAATTTTGAATATCTTATTAGATTCATATTTTTATATACAAAACAAAACTATGCAAAAAGGAAAATGTTTCTAAGTAACTTATATTAAAATAAGGTACACCCAAACCTAAGAAATTGCATAGTTAACTTACTTTTTGTAATTCATATGATTTTTTGGTATCCTTTTTATTTTGCATGAATAATACGAAGGCAGATGCTGGCCGTTTTGGCATTCCAAGTTCCATAAATTTCTATAAAAAAAACCAAAGAATTATAGTTATTATTTAGAAATTTTAATATATATACAATATATGTAAAATAATCAATGTCAATACTTGTTTAATTTTATTCTGCTCCGAAGTATGTTCTTTTTTCAATAATTTTAGTTTCTTCTTCTGTTCATTAGTTAAAGAATTTTCATAATCTATTAATTTCTGTTTATATATAGAATATTGTTCATGAAATTGCATCTGCAAATTTTGCTTTATTGTTGAGTCAAGTTGTGCCCATTTCTCTGATGCTATTTTCACAAGTTCTTTTTGTTTGCAATGAGGATATTCTTTTAGCAATTTGTTCTTTATAGAGGAGTAATATAAGAGATATGCGTTTGGTGGTTTCTTTGGCTTTGGTGGTATAGAATCTTTTTCTATATTCTGTTTTGATTTAAGTGTAGTAAAGTCTTGTGCAGAAACAAATTCCCTGATAACAAAATTTAATTTTTTTCAATATTAATTTTTTACATTTTAATTAATTAATTTATATCCATAACTTTAGAGATAAAAAATATATATTGTTATACAAATATTTTAGTTGTTGTTTTAACCTATTCTTTTATCCATATTAATTAAATTGTATTAGAGAATAATTGTGTCAACAGAGAAAGAAAAATTAAGTGATAATCTCCATATAATGGTAAATTGCAGTAATAATGTTGACGCTTCCGAAATGCTTGGTCTCATTTCATATTACATGTTGTTTTATAAACATTTAAAAACTATTATTCAGATTTAAATTACCAATAGTAGAAAAATAAAATAATATTCTTTACCTAGTGCAAAAGAAATTTAGCGGATTAAACTGTTTCCTATTAATAGGAGACAGTAATCTCCAGGTTGCCGTAATCATGGTACACGTGATTTCGGTATTACAATTAATCTGAAACAATTTTGAATAACTCTTCTACAGATATTTTAATATTTTGATAAAAAATAGTTAAGAAATTCTTATAGAACGAGACGCACTCAGTAACATGCAAAGAATCGAAACAATCGAAACTGTGTTTAGGTTAAAATTTCTCCTCATAAAGGTGCTCTCACATGGACACAAAAAAAGAAATCGAAAGGTGAAATAATAAAATAGTAAAGGTGCCTTTTCATGCCGACGCTCGACCATGGTGGAAAAATGTCTAATGCCTAATTCATACTGGCGCAGCAAGCGTCAAGTAGCAGAGCAGTAACCAATCAGTGAACCGATATTTACAATGGCGTGAACAATATCACTTTGTTGGTTGGTTGCCGGAAGGGATAAGTGCAGAAGAGACAGTGTCTCTTTCTAATCTGTCTTGTGTTCCGGCGCGATATTCGTCGCACCCGACACGCGATATCCAATGACAGTATACCTTTAGAATGAGAATATCGGTAAAACTGTACACTAGTGTGCCGGAATCATAACACATAAAGCATAAAAAATTCAAACAATCAGAGTTCTTTATTTCATGAAAAGGAAGGAAACGCAAGACTTTAATTGATTTATTTTCTTAGGGTGCAAAGCCATACAGCGGATTAGCGGAACGTAGAACGAGAGCAATTCAACTCCTTACCTTAAACACTCCTTACCTTAAATTTCAATGAAATTATGCTCATTCGACGCGTGTTTGCATAACACGAAAGAATCTGGCAGTTGTGTCTATGTTGTGCCTAATTCCGCGAAGTGAGATTTAATCGTTAAAGTCGACTATTTAGATTAGAAAATCTATCAGCCACGAAACACTGCGATGCGAGCATACGTTGCGGTCACATAATACTGTGTCGAATAATTTCATTGAAGTTGAAGATGAAAAGCGTCTTCTGTATAATTACCTAATAATTTATCTTTGTACTTACCACGTTAGTATTCCGCCAATATTTTTACACTGAAACATGAACTTCTAATACCCATATAGCATAATGAGCGCAGACTTTGCACAACTAATCATAAATTGTTATTTCATAATGGTTACAATCACATTAAGACTAATTTCATAAATTTTAATCTTTAATTATTATTTTTAATGAGAAATGCATTTAATTCTGTACTTAGATACATGATAATAAAAAATAAGTGACAAGTACAATATTTAAACGTCATTTATGGACTTGCTGTTGATTCCGCTTTCCCTCATTGCGCTCCATGGAGATGGAGGGATTCGAAACCGCGTAACGCTCGTGATTGGTTCTGCACTCGTTCTGCTATTCCATTACATGGGTTTGCACCTTTATGCATTACGTGTTATGCATTATGCAAGAATCTGTGCTCTCCGTTTAACACGCATTCGACAATAAGCCATTAGTCATAAATCAGAAATTAGAAACTGAAAATTGATCAATCAAAGTGGTCAATTTCCAACTTTGAACTTCTGATTTATGACTAATGGCGTATTGTAAAATGGCCATAAAACGAGAAGTATAACTTCTATTTTATGGAAAGGAAAGAAACGTTGATTGATATATTTTTCTTATGTATTATGTGTTATGTGTTATGTGTTATGCATAATAGCATTGCCGCATACAGAACGCGGGAACGCTTACCGCGCAGCGGAAGTTATCACACTAACCAATTCTATATTCTTAAGTCGGTCTCACATACAAAACTTCTAGAAATGAAATTATATATCTATTATTTCCGAGCAAGCGAAACGTTGATTGGCTAGTGTGCCAACTTCCGCCGCGTAGCAAGCGTTGCTGCGTTTTGTGTGCGAGAGCTATAAGAAAAATTCTACCAATCGAAGTTACTTGTTTCCTTTCTTTTCATAAAATAAAGAACTCTGATTGGTTCAATTTTTTATGCCTCATGTGTTATGCGTTATGCAACAATCTGTGCTCCCCACTTTAGGGTATATCCACATAAACTTGCATAGCCGCATAAACGTATGCATAAAAAAAATTATTCAATAACGTGCGTTTTACGTGCGTTTTTATAAGATAAACGATTGAATAATTTTTTTATGCATACGCTTATGCGCTATGTAAATTTGTGTGGATATACCCTTAGCCTAACGATGTAAATTAGACTATAGGGTGTAGCCATATTAGTCTTGAGTCTTGATTATCGGTCATTGTCAGTTGGAATATAAAGAACTTATAAATTGTTACGCGTGTGTGAGAATTCCAGCAAAATATTAATCTTTTATCTTAACTATTATTATATACTCTATAAAATATTAATATTAATAATAAATTAATATCTAGAACTCTGTTTTAGACTTCTAAATATTCGAATCTATTATCTCTTACATGGTTGTATAAATTATAATTTGGTTCTGGATTAGTTTGTCTTAGAATACACAAGACTTAAATACTGTAAAATTACTTAACAATTTGCATTTGACCGAAGAATGGACAGCTCTTATAGTTTACGATTTTAATTAGCAAATTTTTTGGAATTGGGCAATTATTGTTGATCAAAACAAAATAATTTTTCTGCAATTGCTGTGCAAAGATTTATATTGTAGCTACGTTCTGGCCGGAATCTATTTTCTACTTTTTCGTGAAGTTTTAGTGGTAAGTATTTTTTTTCTTACAAAATAGCTCAAAAGAAGTGTACAAAAACGTTTTTAGAAAAACATCCAATATTTCTGTCAATATATTACATTTCAATATTCACTGTCAGTACTGCAAAACCTATAGTTTTACGTTACATGTCTCACAGATCTTCAATATTGATGGAACGCAGCCTTGATTGATACTTAAAATGAGCCAACATAAAATTTCATTTTATTCTTTATTACAATGCATATACATATGACAATGTATCAGCAAAACTGCTATTATAAATCCAATCAGTAATTAGATTGTAATAAAACATTACATCGACAACAAAGAAACAAAGGAACCTAATATACCACATATCACATAAACTCATAAACAAGCACATTATTTAACAAAAAAATTGACAATAACATTTGAATTTACATTTGCATTTAAGTTCAAAATTATGTACTAAGTTTACATTCGCGCGGACACTAAGGAATTTGCAAGAGATGAAAAATCATGTAAAAAAAAAAAATAATATTCGGTATCATGAAAGCCCAGTAGATCCACTGCCAGCAACATAGCCAGCAGACTGTACAATTTCCAGCATAGTAATATGCAAGCAATCCTAGGAAAAAAATATTATATGCCACAAGTATAATAGTATGATACTACAAGTTTAAATTTTGTATTCATTAATATTCAAAGAGAAACAAAAACTTAATTCAGAAAAAAAATGATAGAAAAGAAAATAAAAGATTACTAAAAAGTAAGTAATTTCCAATTGTTGAATATCAAATCATGATTTTAACTGAAAGGAAATAAAAATATTGGACAGAGAACCATCATATGACAAGATACTAATATCTGAGATGGTCTTTCTAAAGAAAAGACACAAGGATTAAATAAACAGAATGACACGGAATCTATCAGAATCACTTTCCGATAGATATATTCTGTTAGTTCAGTCATTATCCCCGTCATAATATCCCTATTCGTTAATATCCCCTCCTATTACATTTCTTCTTCCTTTTTCGTCTTTTCGTTTCTCATTCCAACAACAGAAGTGATACTTAAGTATAACAGCCAAAGTTTAAAAGCTCCGTAAGAGGTTTTATTAACAAAATAATTGCGGATTTTCATATCCATATTACATTTTATTAGATATTGATATTATCACACAGACTTTTAATTAATTATATCTGGCTTCAAAATTGTAACATTTCTCTCTATTATTACTGATAGAAATTACACTCACGTAATCAGCACAATAGTAATCAAAAAGAAAATGTAGCAGGCGAATATAAATATCTACAAATGTTGAAAACACCTATATACACTGTAATGTTTGTCACATTAAGAATGACCCAATAATGGGTCGAAAATGTTTTGTCTTATTATTAATTTTATAAATATTAAATTGAATTATTATAGCAACGAACATTCAGCTAGGCTTGTAGCCCTTTTTATATTTTAAAAGATACTAAATCTTTATGCCAAATGTATGATAAAATAAAAAGAGAATAAATGGTATATAAATTGTTATCAATGTTATCATTTTACTTTATATTTTTATATATTAAATGTATGAGTAGTTGACTTTTGTGTACATATATTGTTAGTGCAAAAGTGCAGGTTTATCTAAAGAAACTTCAATGCAGCTGCTAATTTTTAAATATTATTTCTATATATTATTTACTTCTAAAGTAAAGGAATTTTTTTACATGTTCACAAGGCACTATGCATCAAATCACAATATTTTTTATATAACTACATATTTATTTAAAAAGTCTAGTAGGACTTTTATTTTGAAAAATCAATAATGTTACATTTACAATAAAGATTGTCTCACAATAAAATATAATATTTTTCAACACAATATTGTTTGTTTTAAATTGTTAGAAATATTCAAATTACTTTTGACTTTTTTTAAGAATTTATACTATGTGTATATATATATATATGTATATATAAG